CAAAAGTACTAAGACCCTATTTTATAACTCCAGGTACTAAGTCCCCTAATCCTCCAAGTATTGATTTAGGAGGTTTTTTCGGGGTTTGGGGGTTGAGGATGACTTAGGCTTTAGGTTTTAAACCTTTAATCGTATCCCCAAGCCTAAGCCCAACACCCCGAACCCAAAACACTTCACCCTACCTTTTGTGGCCTTAGGGCTCGCATCGCTGACGGCCAGAAATCGACGCCCGCCTGCAGGCCGGAGAGACATTGAGTCGTTTGTCACCACGGGGTTCAATCAAGCTGAACGAGCGGTGTAGGGTTTCAGGCTTTATGGCGGAGTGACACGCAGGGTTCCAGAAGCCTGCTTCGTTGCTGGTTCGTTCCGGGTCGAACTTTCAACTGCAAGGCACATGTAGCGTAAGCTTGTCCACTGTTCTGTCCGTCGTGGAGTACCAGCAATAGAACGGACTTGATAACCTTCAAGTCTTAGCACTCGTCTCTGTAAACCCGACAAAACTCTGAGTCCTGGATTGCGTACACCCAAGATACCTTACAGCCCTACAAAACGAAACACACAAAGAGGCCCTCAGAAAGAGACTGAACTAGCATAGCGCTCTTAACTTAGCAGCACAATTCTACGATCCTCGGCGGAGCGCTTCGAAGTGATTCCGGACCCTGGTCCCTAATTTAGGGTGCCTTAATAATAAGGATATACAAATAATTAGAGTAGGGTTTTGGGGGCCCATTATTATACCATACTTACATTCAGGAAACACACAAAATAGTATTGGTACTTATTTAACGCCCTATACTAACATTATAGTACCCTTATACATCACTCTTGGTAGCCCTTACAGACCCCTTTAAAGGAACCCTATTGAGGCGCCTAAAGTCCCTACACCCCCATAACCCCCAAACCCGACTTTTGGAGAGCCTTGGCTTCGCCACTGCCGAGCAAAGGCACCTGGGATTCTCTGCTGAAATGGTTGAGGGGTTTAGGGTGTTAGGATTTAGAGCTTAGGGTGTCAGGGCTTAGGGTTAGGGGTTTAGGGCTTAGGGTGTTAGGGTGTCAGGGTTTAGGCTTTCGATCTAACTACTCCCTAGGTTCTTTACGGGTTCCTGCGGCAAAGCTTCAAGGGAGGTTTTAGGTGTTCAGGCTGTCTTTTTTGTTCTTATCTTGGAGATGAGGGAATCTATTTCTCTGGAGGTCTCGGATCAAGGTTGGTTCTCTTGGTTCTACGTTTTTGCTCCCTTTCTCCTTGTTGTTTGCGTTGGCAGGGGTTTGGTCTTGGGTCTCGAGCGTTCTGGATTTCGTGGGGGGCCTAGGGGCCTGGGACTTCCAGGTTTAGGGATTTAGGGTTTAGGAATTTAGGGTTTAGGGATTTAGAGATTTAGGGATTTAGGGTTTAGGGATTTAGGGCTTAGGGCTTCCATGCCATGAAATGAGTGCCCGGGGTGTAAGGTTAGTGGTTTCATATGGGGCCCTGAATAATTGGAACGGGGTTATGATAAGGAAACCTACTTGAAGCAGCATGGGACTTAGTAATTGGGGTTCTAAATAGGGTAACTATAGCCATAATTACTTATAGCCACAATTAAGGTACGTATAAGCTTACTTACTAAGTCCCATGATCCTCCAAGTACCAATTATTCATTCGATGCTGGGGCTTTTGTGGGTTGGGTTCAGAGATCTTGCTCGCCCAGCTTCCCTAAAAATACAGACGTGAACGTTTGGGAGTATGTGGGGGTTGTACTTCCCCGGCTACGTGAAGGTTACCTACTGAACTACATACCCCTTGCTAGGGTCCTTACATTTGGGATCCTTCTTCTAGGGAGCCCCTGCTATGCCTTACAGGTCCGTAAAGTAAAGCCAAACCAAATTTTCCTGAGAGATACGCCCAAAATCAAAGGACTCCCTGAACCCTAACCCTATTCCCGTAACGCTTTTTGAACTCCACCAAATCCTATATCCCCACGCCCATCTGCTCCAAGATGAGGTCAAGGGGTGCTGATGCCGGCAAGTACCTCCTCCAGACTCTACCAAGGAAATCTGTCGTCCAGATCCAAGGCCACGCAACGAGTCTGAGAAGTAGGAACAACAAGCTTCCAACGATCCAAGCCAGGTACCAGTGAGCCCAGAAGGTCCTGGCGTCATCGAACTCGAAGTGCCACCACAGATCAAGCGTTCTGGGGATGGAGTGATGGCAGAGCCTGGAATCCATGGCGTAGAAAAATGGTTGCCAAGCCACGGTCCCTTGCTTGTTGACCAACCAGGGAGGCCACTGCTTCCAGCAGCATCTCTCCGCCAACTTCCTCTCACTTGGCCGAGTGAGTGCCGTGTAGTTAGTATAGAGGCCTGAAGGTTGATAATAGTCCTACTTGTCGGGTATCATGGGGAACTAAAGGTTAACCTTTTTGATTATATAGGGATTATATAGGGACTATACTACCCAGAAATGGTTAAAGGTTACCTACTCTGCTACTAGCTGTATACACCCCAACACCTGCTGTAATCGTCAACGCCCCGAGGTTCTACCCCCCCCCACCCACCCACCCAAAACAATGCGAAGCCCTCTTCGAGTTATCATGGCCCCACATCTTACACGAAGCATCGCGGTATGCTCGGACTCCGCACTTTCGCCCCTCCGATGTCAATGGTCCGGGTATTTTGGAAGGCGTCCTGCCTGAAGCAGTTGCTGTTCGGTGCTTGGAGGTTCATGCATATCTATAAGTAGGGTGATAAGTCCCCTAATATGAGTTATAAGTATAGTTCCCCCTACTTACAACCCCACACTTATAACTACCCATGAACCTCCAAGTGTCGCCGGGGATCGGAACGGAAAACCCTTGTTGGAGTATATCGGGACCATAGCACCCCTGACTAAACCCTAGTCCCCAAACCCTAAACCCTAACCCAGACAAAGAGTGACCTGGGAATAAAATGGGTGTCCCTTTTGGTTTAAAGGGCGTTATAAGGGAACCTAAACCCTAAAACAAGGGAATAAGGGCCTACTCTGGGTCCTAGTAATCCCTAAACCCACATCCGTAATCACCAAATCCGAAAACCCTGCCGATGATTGATTTACTGCTGGAGCGGCTGTCGGGCGTTAGGCTATGGGGTTTAGGGTTTGGGGTGCAGGGAATAGGGCTTGCATCAGGGAACGTGGGACTTAGTAACTAGGTTTATGAACAAGGTACCTATAGTTACAATTACGTATTCCCCCAATCAGGGTACTGAAAACCTTGCTTACTAAGTCCCCTGATCCCCAAAGTAGTCGTCGGGGTCCGGGGCTTGGGGCTTTTCAAGCGTTATTCTGCGGCTTTTGAAGCTTTCAACGGGGTTCATCAGGGTTTTCGGGTCTAGGGTTTTGGGGCTGCCTGAAGTGGCTTTACCCTAAGGCTCCCGGACACTCGTAGTCAGATCCCAAACCATAGCCCCCAAAGCCCGAACCCCTCCCCCAGAAAGCCCATGACCCCTTTCGGAGCCTTAGGGTAGGGCTTTCAAGCATTTCGAGTTTTGGTTTTAGGGATTTGGTGCAGGCTCTTCAAGCTTTGTAAGGCTTTATGGCTTGGGTTGGGGGATGTATACCCAAACCCCCGGGAGGATCCAAAAAGTAGATCCCTTAATGGGGGTTCCTATGAAGTACCCTTAGTAGTACAGGGCACCACATTAGGGGATCTGCTTTCTAGATCCTCCAAAGGGGGTCCGGGTAGCAGTGTGATGAGGCGGCTTGCGCTTTGGGGGGTGGTGTTGGGGTTCTGAGGTTCTTTGAGTTTCAGGCTTTTGGGATGTTTCGGGCTTTAGGTCCCCACGGTTTGGGCTGGTTTGGGGGGCTGCCGGAGTTCCAGTGCCGGCAACCGAAGCTTATCTGTGAGATGCTATATGGGTAGTTCTCGAAATTAGGGGTCCTTTTAGGCCCAATATAGTACGGCACCCTAGTGAAAAGTACCCTAATAGGTACCCTAATTTAGAGAACCACACATATAGGGGGTTCTCGTACCCCATAAAGGTTGGAGGTTACTTGGTATACGTGCCAGCACGAAGTATAATGTAGGAACCTGGGCCTATAACCTCTAAATAAACGGATTCATATAAGGAGCCCGAATAAAGGCCCAAGGTTTCTTAATCAGTTTCCTACATCAATGCGTCATTGAATCCGTCTGGAACTAATATATTTAACATCGCTATTCATCCGCCGGAGTGCCAGTATACCTTGCCGTAGGGTTCAAAGGACTTGGAAAGTAAGGTTAGAAGTGTCTTAATTGGAGCTCCAAGTGAATATGTCTATAATACCTTACTTATAAACCTAATTACCGAGTCCCATGATCGCCTATGAACTCTCCCAAACCCTTATAGCACCCCTATGGATCCCTGAAGGGGGGCCTTAAACCTTAGCTACTAAGTCCCATGATCCTCCAAATAAGGCTCATGGCTTAGAGGATCTACATGATCACTGGTTCTTACAGGATCATGGGATTTAGCAAGTAGGGTTATACATAAGGCAGCTATGATAACAATTCCATATAACCCCCATTAGGTGCTTATAACTTATAACCTTACAGGGTAAGTCCCAAGATCCTCGAAGTTACACTAAGCAAACAAGTAAGAAGTAGAGTAACCGCACACCTTCGGAGTTGATGACTCGGGGACTATCATTTCGGACGACAAAGCACAGCGCCTATGCAGAGTCATTTATGCCACGAGCTAGGTCATCTTCACAACTTTGGTTGATAATAACCCTACTTACAACCCATCTTTTCGGACCCCTGAGGGGTTAAGCAGACCCTGCACAGTAGGCCGTGGACTTAGGACAACGTCAAGAGACATCATAATATGTACATTATTCCTCGGATCCCTATGAACTTGTATGGGCAGCGACTCGACTCTACACCCCAAACATAACCTAAATCATCTCCATGGGGGGGAAGCTTTCATGAGTAGAAAACCGGTTATGGCCGGACTGCTATGACACTGCACCACAACGTCGCTGAGGTCTTTTGTCGGCATGTGGGACGTCACGTAAGTTTCCGGACATCGACACCAAATAGAGTCTTCAACATGTTCCTGTTCAGTGCGTTGTTCGATCGGAGGTCATAGTGATACTGATCCCACATGAAGGTAGCCTTGCTGTCATTAGCCTTCCAGGACGCCGTCATGTTCGACACGTCCCACATATGCCAGCCGTGCTCTGCAAACTTCAGGTTTTTGTACAAGTCCTTGTAGTACTTGTTTGCCCATGCGAGGAAGGGTTCGTGCTGGTCGTTGGATCGCAGGAGACGGGTTTTGAAGTAGAGCTGCGCGGACGGATTCGACCTGGGTTGTCACCATAAAGCCAATGCCCGCTAACGAAGGAGGAATTTAACATGTGTACAACGAATAAGTAAGTGTAAGTATATATATATATGCATATACACATTGGTTGGTTTGCTGTATATACGGTACATATACCCACCTTACACCAAAAGGGCACGGACGCACTGCACCGACAGGGGCCGTGATAATTAGAAGAGGGCTTTGGGGCCCTACAGCATAACAGCTAGAATAAGGAACCTAAGGAATATCATGGAATATATCTTGAATGCTTCTGGCTAGATGCCTCAGCGAAAAGGGTCTCTCAGGATCCATAGGTACAGGGTTCAGGAGTTTCAGGTTTGCGGTTTGGGGGTTTAGGGCAGCACTAGCAAACTCAGGAAGTTGTCCATGCGTTTGCCTGAGATCTAAGATTCTGTTAAAGAGGTTGAGATAGTGACTCTGTCTCTGCATTCTCTGGAAATTTAGGGTGCAGGGGTTGTGCCATCTATTCATTGGTTCTGTTTTCCGACAAGAGACCAGTAGCTGCTGGTATTTATGGTTATCCTGAAGGGTGTTTAGGGATACAGCCTTCTATTCACTGGTTCTGTTTTCCGCCAAGAAGCTCTTGGACCAGCGAAAAGAACTTGGCCACTTCTTCGGTCTTCCAGCCCACAATCTCCTCCCAGCCCGGATGGAACACCACCTGCTTGTTTAGGATTTAGGGCTTAGGGTTTAGGGCTTTCTTGGTGGCCGGAAGAGGTTCGGATTTAGCGCTGGTTTTCGGGTGGCTGTCGAGGTTTAGGCTTCCTGCGGGTTTTGGGCTTTTTGCGGTTCCAGGCGCCAGGGTTTAGGGTTTAGGGCTGATGCAGCGTGGGCTAGAAATAATGAAACACACACTGAGTGAACACAAAGATGCTGTCTGTTAGTGAGCGTGATAGTTGCACCAATATCGAGGTGGGCCCTTTAGCCATTGAACTAAGATCCTCTTAAACCCAATACAAGAAAATACAAAATGCCCCAATGGCCTGCCCAAGAGAGTATGGACACCCTACTAAACACCAAAACCTAGACCCTGGACCCACACCCCGCCCCCAAGCAACGACACAACAAAATGAGGAATTTCAGACACTGTGGGACCATAGAGTGAAACCCTAGCGCAGATAAGGCATCCCTCGGTTCACCATGGACACCCACATGGGTGGTTGTCAAAATTATGGTCTCTTTTTGGATCCCTATTATAGTACGGCACCTATTATGTAGGGTACCCCAAAAGGGACCTTAATTTTGACAACTACCCACATGAAAAGCCACATGCAACAATCCGCAATCCAACCAAAATCTGGAAAGTCAAAGAATCGCAAGACAACCCCACTGACACTGTCATTATCCCATTCTGCAAGCCCCTGGAACCCAAAATGAGGGCAACAATCTTTACAACTCCTTCGACTCGCGAGGTTTGTACAAGAAGAAGCAGGAAGACAAACGAACTTGCCGGCGCAGACCCTGAAAACTAAACGCCAAACCCTCCAAACCCTGCTAGCTTGGAGAACGACCCATAAAGTTAGTGTTGGTTATACTTGCTTACAGCCCCCCAATTAATGTATGTATAACCTTACTTACTAAGCCCCACGATCCTCCAAGTTGACCCTAAACCCTAAACCCCTACAGCAGCCCGGTAGATCCCGTTAAATTTCCGTTAAATGCCCTAATTTGGAGAACTAACCGTATACCATGAACAAGGCGAAGCGCATAGTCCGGTCTCAGATTCGAGACGACCTGTCCGAGCTCGACCATGTCTTTTGCAGACCATTTGGGAGTCCTTGGCTGTGCCCGGCTCAGGGATTATGGGGGGGTCGGATACCCAGGGTGTGGGCCTCAGAAGGCTATGGGTGTCTGAGGGCCTTTCCGTTACTTAGTATTGGGTTTAGGGGGTTAGGGGTTTAGGGTTTAAGGGTTTGGGGGGGCTTAGGGGAAGGTTATATTCAAGAATTAAGGTCCATATAATATAAGTAGCCCTTATAGAGCCCTTTAAGGCTACCATAAAGGGGCTCATACTATTTTGGTGGTTCCTGTATAGGGTTTTTTTTGGTGGGGGGGCTGGGGGGAAGGAGGGCGGGGTCAGGTTTTGGGTTTAGGGCTTTAGGGCTTAAGGGGTTTAGGGTTTAGGGGTTCAGGGGTTTAGGGTTTAGGGGTTCAGGGGTTTAGGGTTTAGAGTCCTTTTTTTACAAGGGTTCGAGGCCCCTTGGGATTGAACAAGGTCCAAAGTTTATGCTGTAGAAGGGGCCCCGACCCTGTAATAGTGGTATAATATGAATATGGGCCCTAAGAAAATCCTTATAGTCACTATTACAGGGTGGGGGGGCCCGAAATAAACTTTAAAATTTAGGTTTTTCTAGGGTTCTGACGAGGGCTCCACAGGTCTTGCAGGTGTTAAGGGTGTTTAGGGTAGAGGGTTTTATATGGGTGGTTGTCAAAATTAGGGCCCCTTTTTGGGTACCCTAAATAATAGGTGCCATATTCGAACAGGGTACCCAAAAAGGGACCCCAATTTTGACAACCACCCATATGACGCTTTGATAAAGGGTTTGCCAGTCTCCCGGAGCCTTTCCAAAACCTTTGCATAACTGGGGCATAGACACCAAAATCATGATAGGGATCCCGCTAAAGACTCTAAAGTGCATGGGTGTGGAGGAAGTTGATTTAGGTTACTGTCAGGACATTGTGACATTTCGCATATAGTCTTATTATTTTGGCTTTTGATGTGGAGCTCTTTGACAAGAACGCAGTACAAGTGCCCCTTTTCGTGCTACTACTTGACCTCCGCTGGGAGGCCCAAACCTAACAAAGGAAAATACGGTCAAAACGTGACGATCTGCTCTACCAGCGAGCTCACAAACGCCAAATAATATGAGATGTTGTTGCGTATCGTGCAGTTCTGGTAGGGAGCCGCAGAAGCAGGAAGTGCCGTAAGGGATCAAACGTGCCTTGTGGTTGCCGGGCTACACCTCCATCTTCAGAGGGCCAGGGATAGCCCCAAAACGAAGACGAAATATAGTAAACTCCATAAAGTTGGAAACCGAGTTAAGGCCAAATGGTGCTGGGATTCCCTATACAGTACTCTTAAGGATTGAGGCTATTGGGTTTCCAAGTTTTGGGCTTCTACCACAAGCGACCAAGAGTCTCTATAGCCGGATGGCACCTATTTGGACCGCACTGACAGTTGCAGAGGTCAATGTTTGTGCCGTTTACATGCCAGTGACCCCTCAGCGGAAGGAAGGCCTCCCCAAATTTCTGCAGGTAGGTGATTGCAACCATATTGTTAGGATTCCGGTAGTACCGGTGTTCCACAGTATCCTGCATGCCGCCCTGCGGCCGATAGCCTGGGAAAAGCTGGCTGATTTGGGGATCGGTCGTCAATTGCCACTTCAAAGTGACATGCAAATCACGTATGCAAAGGCCCCTACATAAGCTGAGGAAAGCCATGACTGCCGCCTGCTACAACATCGTTAGACCGGGTCAGACACTCTTTGCATGAGTATTGGAAGACCACCACAGGAGAGGCTGCCGAAGCAGTATTAAAGTTGCGATGCCGGTAGCAGCGAAAGACTAAGAAGAAGCAGTAGCAGTAGCTGTAGCGTGTAGAGTCTGAGCTACAATTATTTGATGCTGCAGCGCCCAGAAACAATTGCACAGCTCGTATTTCAGAAGGTGGTTCGTGAGATTGAACCAGGTGTGCCAGTTCTTTCCGCACTTCTCGGCGCTAATCAGCAAATACAAATCGTCGCCCGTGGCCCAGGCACCAGCAGTGAAGAAGTACGCCAGGGACATGTATTGGTATCGCATCCGTGAGTCTCCGATCATTACGATATGCTTATTCCGAAAAGCAGGGTGACCTCCAATTGGCTGAGTCTGTGTTCGAGGTGCTGTCATCCTTACCCAGTTCCCACATTCCCGGTTTGCAGTGCACAGCGAACCGCTCTTTGGAGGAGCTTTCTTCGCAGTGGTGGTCGTCGTTTTGACGACGGGCAGCACGGAAGTCGTAGAGGTGGGCCTCGATGTGAGCGTCGTTAGCACGGACGGGGCGACTGTGGTCATCAGCGTCGAGGTTGTCTCCAGTTGCACTGCAAAGGCGCTGGTGCTGTTGCCAATGGCACCGGTTTTGCCGTACAGATGGATGCCGGTGATGAAATCTTGGCTGGTTTTTGTACTTGTAGTTTTTTTGAGACAGCCAAAGTCGTACTAAGCCCTAAACCCCTAAACCGCCAGAGAGCCAAGAAGCTAGTGGAGGATCGAAACGAAGGCAGGACACAGGCGAAGGCCACTCCCAGAAGGAAGAAAAGAGAGGCCCTACAACAGCTGCAGCTATCCCCGTCATCCTCAAGGTCCGGCATTCCATTCCCGGATCCTGCTTAGAACCTGCACCTGGGGCTTCTTGTGTTTAGTGTTTACAGTAGTAATTTAGGTTCTAGGGTGTTCTTTTGGTTTAGGACTACAAGTCAGGTTGCGGCTTTAAAGGTTAGTATTCAGGACTTACCGCTTTTAAGGACATATATTACGAAATCATAAGAGGGAACCCTAAAAAGGTAGGTTCTTTAGGGTTCAGGGCTACCAGTACAGTTTAGCTAGTCGGCAGCCGATGCGGTTGCCGGCGAGCTGTGACTAAAAAAGGTTACAGGATAGCTGCATGTGTATATATATATATATATATATACATATAACTATATATATATACACACATCCTGCATGTGTATATACATATATATAATTATAGACATGTAATTATATGTATACACACGCTCACATATACCAGCACCCCCCCAGGGCCCTTTAATGGAGCCCTTACGCCCGTTTATAGCGGATATTTGGGGTATGCTAGAATGTAGATAGCTGGGTTCTAGGTATCCATATGCCATGATGTGTGCATCTATGTGTTACATCGTCTATACGTATTGGTTGTATACACGGATCAAGACTACACAGGTAAATATGCAGGCCTGCCCGCATGTAGACGCGTAAGGCGTAAGTCAGGCACGCATATATGCGAATGTTGCCCTAAACACTAAACCCTGAAAATGAAGCCACATAAGGTAGGGATATCCCCCTAGCATAATTATGTTTAACTCCTTTTGGGGTCCCTACTAGGCGAACATTGCAGAGCAGCGGCGGCTGCGAGTCGCCAAAAAAATTGAGCCAGATAAGGAGCAGCACTCTCATAACACAGCCCTCAACCTTAAACCCTATAAGCCCTCAAGCATAAAACCCTGAAGCCTAAACCCCGAAGCCTAAAACCCTAAACCCTAAAGGCCCTAAAGCCTAAACTCCCAACCTCAAGCCCTAAAAACAAACACCGAGTACCACGAAGCACTTTAACCCAAAACCCCGTCGCTTTAGACAGGCTTCCTGTTTCTTTGTTCAGTTTCACAGGGGCACCCCGATACCAAAGACATGATCACGACTAGGATCCAAAGGGTTGGAATGGACATGCACTCACCAGGATCTGTGCCGCATGATGGAAATACCAGAGCTGTAGGTCGAAACACATAGCCCTAAAGCCTAAACCATGACCCTTCTTCTGCCGGAACCCTCATGACTGGGCCCTAGACAGAAGCTGCAAAGCCGAAGCAGCGAAGTCCTAATTTACTATACCCCAAACTTTCATCCCCAAACCCAAAAACACAAGACGTGAAACCCTGAAACCTAAACTCGCAAGCACGAGCAGTTGTATGCTGAGCCTTATTTCCAGCAGTAATTGCAGGCGACAGGAGGGCTGGGGCAGGGTGCAGGGGCAGGGCGAGATGGGCCGGTCTCTCAAAGGCAAAAACAACCCAGACTTTGGGAAGGATCCAACAAGTAGATCCCTTAATGGGGGTTCCTATAAAGCACCCGTAGTAGTATAGGGCCCCAACCCCGAAGCCCGCGTACCTGCTATGCAGCGGCCGAAGCACTCCGTCCTTGGCTTTCGGGATCAAGGGATGTAGGTTGTAGGGGTTTATATACTTGAAGGGTCATGGGACTTAGTAGGTCTGGTTATAAGTACCCTAATTGGGGTTATAAGTAATTGTAACTATAGTTACCCAATGTATAACCTCAATTACTAAGTCTCATGATCCTCCAAGTAGGGTTTAGGGTGTAGGATTTTAGGGTTGGGGGTGTATAGTGTAGGGTTGAGGGTTTCGGTTGTAGTGTGCAGGGTTGAGGCTAAGTTCACCGCCCGCAAACCCTGAACCCTAAACGCAGACCCACTGTCTTATTGAAACTGTTCCAATCTCAAATCTCTGCTTACCCATGTCTGCAAGGCGGCAATGTCCAGGAAAATGACCTTCGTGGGGTCCTGGCAAAAAAAACGGGCGTTGAGCTGGGGTTCAAGGTTTAGGGGCACTAGGGCATTCCCATAAACCCTCAACCGTTGAACCCTAAACCCTTGAACCCTAACTTTCGAATGTTTAAGGCTTGAAGTTTAGAATTCAGGTTGAGGGTCCCTAGAGTTAAGGTTTAGCTTGTTTTCCTGGTGCTTAGGAGGGAATGGGGGAATGGATCCCTATAGTAGTCCCTCTTTTTAATCCCCAATAATAGTCCCCATAATCCATTCCCCCATTCCCTGCTAAGCAATCTGGAGTTGTGTTTTGGGACTTCCAGGGTCTAAGCTTTAGGGTTTAGGGCTTTCGCTTTAGGCTCTAGGGCTTGAAAGCTTTAGGGCTTTGGGATGTTGTCTATTTCTTACCTCCCCTAAAGGCAACTGGACACTGACTTGGCATCACAGTGACGCTCTAACGTCGTTTTGTGGCTTTGGAGTCTTTCTTGCGCAGTGCTTCCCAGCGATTATCCCAATAAGCCGTAGACCCTAAGCCCAAACTATCAAGTGCAAACTCATTGTCTGCACGACCTGTAGTAACCCTTTAAACAATATACAACAGGTCAAGTGGAGCCATGAAGAGTCAAAACAACGATGAAACCGAGAAACCTATCAACGACCAGTCCTCCAACCCATAAACCTTTGAAGGCCCCCCACCCTGTAATAGTGACTATAAGGATTGTATCAGGGTCCTACTATATTCCTATTATACCGCTATTACAGGGTGGGGGGGGGGCTTCTAACATAAACCCTGATTAGGATTTGTGGTGCAGGGTTAGTACGTAGTGCGGTTTTGGGGTGTAAATTGTGGTGTGTTCGTGGCATTGGTAATTGGTCCAGCTTCTACATTAGGGCTCAGTCGCTAAAACATGATTTGGGGGTTACTACAGCACAATTCTGCACTATACGGGAGTTTCCGAAAATAGGGGACCCTAAAATAGTACCCCAAATAGTAGGATCCTTATTATATGGACCCCCAAATAAGGTACCCCTAGTTTTCGGAAACTCCCATAAGGGAACTGCTAGTGCTACTGTAAAACATATTTCTTACGATCCCTACAGTGACCCCGGAGGCTTTTTCTGCTGAACCCCTAAACCCTGAAGCCGTAAATCCGAAACCCCAAATCACTAAACTCTGAATCCCCACCTCCCAGACCCCGACACCGCAAAGGATACTATGAAGGAGCCCTGCAAGTGCTAATAATTCAGCCCTGAACCCTGCCCCTGATTTTACATGCAAGGACAACTATGATATGCAAAACACCTATGCCAGTAAACGTTCCATTACACCGTAAACCCAAAGCTCCACCCGCAGCCTTGGCTGGAGGTGGAAGCGGCTGGTGCTTTACCTCCACGACCTTGCAATCAAGGGTTTCAAGGTCTTACAGTGGCTCAGGTCTCTTGCGGTTTGGGGTTTCAAGAGCAGGTTGCTGTGGCGCACACCCACTTCTTAAGATAGTTACCTTGTGACGACCCGAGCATTTTCAATTCACACACAACACGACAACACGAACACGTGTTAACCCATACTCCTCACCGCAGGCCTCGCAGACGGTTCTCTCCAGTCCCAGGCTTTAGGCTCTTGGGGCTTGCGGCGTCAGGTTTGAGGTTTCGGGACTAGGATTGTAAGATATTGGGTCAAACAGTCGTCAAGTCCCAGATGCGGACGAAGAATAAAGTTCACATGGCAACACCAAACGGGTAAAGCTGTGTCCCAACACCGCATGATAAGTTCGCTGATTTGGCATCTCTGTGCGAGGCCTGATTGCACGAGTGACTTAAAGAGCCAACCATGTACCTAACGCCCCACACATTATTTCCAACAACTGCTGCCGCACCTTGGGCGCTTCCACCACAGCGGCCTGCGTTGGAAAGTCAAGCTTCTAAGGGCTTGGCTTTCTCGAGTCCTCCGGGAACTACAGGCTAATTCACATTATACCCTAAACCCTTATAAAACCCAGTTATAAACACTAAACTATACTCTAAACCCTAAACCTTTATACAACCTACTTATAAGCCTTATAGACTAAACCCAACCGGGTTGAAGCTTACCTGCTCTACCGCTGGGACAGGCAGGGGGCAACTCTTCCGAGGCCATGGGCTGAGAACCGGTTTAAGGGTTTAGGGTTTAGGTACTATAGGGGTTTAGGGGTTTAGGGGTTTAGGGGTTTAGGGTTTAGGGGTTTAGGGGTTTAGGGGTTAGGGGTTTAGGGGTTTAGGGGTTTAGGGGTTAGGGGTTTAGGGGTTTAGGGGTTTAGGGTTTAGGGGTTTAGGGGTTTAGGGGTTTAGGGTTTAGGGGTTTAGGGTTTAGGGGTTTAGGGTTTAGGGGTTTAGGGGTTTAGGGGTTTAGGGGTTAGGGGTTTAGGGGTTTAGGGGTTTAGGGGTTTAGGGGTTTAGGGTTTAGGGGTTTAGGGGTTTAGGGGTTTAGGGGTTTAGGGTTTAAATATTTGGAGGATCAGGGGACATAGTGCCTACTGGGAGGATCAGGGGACTTGGTATAGTAATTAGGGCTATCTTCAGGGTCCCTTTAAGGGAGTCTACAGGGGTTCAGTACTATAAGGGTTTAGGATTTAGGGTCTACTTAGAGGATCATGGGACTTACTATAAATATAGTTTTAGGTACCTTAATTGGGGTTATAAGTAGTTATAGTATATTTACCTTAACAAAGTCCCATGATGTTTTACGTAAGGTCCCTTTAAAGAGAGCCAGAAGTAGGGTTAATAAGGGCGCGTTTTAAGGATCTCCCTAATGCTACCTGGGAACTTCTTGAGCGATAGAACCAAATGGCTAAGCTTTCAGACGGTTGATGGTATCAATCCTGCATTACCTTAAGGACCCTAAACTATGGGAAGTATGGTATACTCCTTATTCTGGGTCATGCAGGATTCATATCAGGAGAACTAGCAGGCGAACCCAACTTCATCCTCAATTGCTGCAGGTCGGGAGCATAACGGATCTCCAAAGGTGTCTTTATGATTACGGATGCCTACTGCTGCTTTCCAAGCCCTGGGGAAGATCTACAATCATAGGGACCCTTGGGGGGGTAATTTCGAGGGGGTAGGGGTTTGTACTTCCTTAAATCCTACCCCTTACCCGCCAAAGGGTCCTTATGATACAAGTAGATCCCCCAATCGTCTTTTGAAGGAAAGCTCGCAAGGGATCTGCTTTTGTGGATCCTCCCGCTGGTCTGGGTTGGGGTCTTTTTCAGGGGTCATGTAGGAACCTGCTTAAGAAACCCTGGGCCTATAACCCCAAAACAGTAGGATTCGTATACGGAAGCCTAATACAGGCAAGGTTTCTCAATCAGGTTCCTACATTACTTGTTCTAGGGTTTGTGAGTTTTATGAGGTTGGGCTACAGTGATAGCAACTGACAACGTTTGAGACATCATTTGTGTCAGCGATTGACCAGCCGAGAGATAAGATACTCCAGACAAATCTCCAACACATCAGCAAATCAAGGCAAAGAGGGGCTCAATGCACTTGAAGTTGCAGGGATCACGTTTTTGGCTTTCGATAGTTTGTAGATTTCCGAAACAGAACCCCCAAACAAAGGTCTATCTTGATGAGCCACAGAACATCGACTAGGATACCTCTTCGGCGACTCTATGCATTAAACCCTAAACCCTAACCCCCCTTAAACCCTACGCCCCTACAGTACCTAAGCCCTTAACCCCTATACCCTAAACCCCTAAACCCTAAACCCCTATAGTACCTAAACCCTAAACCCCTAGACCCCTAAACCCCATTTAAACCTACTATGGCCTCTGGCAGGTCTCCGTAGAGTGCCGCCATTGGATCTCCAGACGGGGGAGCCTCGACCTGCCCGGCCACGCGGCAGTAGCCGCTTTATGGTACTGTAGGCTTCTATAGTAGGGTTCCCTCAAGTACGCTTTATGGTACTGTAGGCTTCCATAGTAGGGTTCCCCCAAATAAGCTTTATGGTACTGTAAGCTTCTATAGTAGGGTTCCCCCAAATACGCTTTATGGTACTGTAGGCTTCTATAGTACGGTTCCCTCAAGTACGCTTTATGGTACTGTAGGCTTCTATAGTAGGGTTCCCCCAAATACGCTTTATGGTACTGTAGGGTTCTATAGTAGGGTTCCCTCAAGTACGCTTTATGGTACTGTAGGGTTCTATAGTAGGGTTCCCCCAAATACGCTTTATGGTACTGTAGGGTTCTATAGTAGGGTTCCCCCAAATACGCTTTATGATACCATAGGGCTCTGTTATAGGGTTCCCTGAAATACGTTTTATGGTACTATTGGGTTCTATGATAAGGTTCGCTCAAATACTAGGGTTCAGGGTTTAGGGGGATCTATCACAAATACTGGTGAACCTAGCTTGGAGTTTTCGTTGAGCATTGCACCCGGCTCAGAGTCCTCGGAGGGCGAGGGCGATCCTGTCCAAACGGCGAAGGGGTGACTGCAATCGGCTCCAGTCAGACGGTCAATGTGCACACACAAGAGGGCTGTCTGGCCGACATCAGGCCCGAAAGTGGTCACCACTAACTCAGTCTGATGGCCGTGGAGGGCGTAGGGCTCGCCCCACCGCTGACGAGATCTGGCACGTTCTCCTTCAGGCGGAGAGGGGGCGCCTTTGCCGCCTCGGCAAGCCATGGCTCCACCCAGGGTTTAGGGCCCCGGCCTCCTGGAGTTGGTAGCCTGGTTCTGCCTTTTTTTTTGGTTTTAACCAACCTGGTGCGAGGCTAGCCATCGTATTTCATTGCTGCGAAAGCTTCAGCACTGGCAGCGACGGAATCGATCTTCTGAAGCGCGTCCTGCACTTGTTTGGAAAAAAGGCCGCCCCAATTCTTTAAGAGCAACCCTTCGGACCCTAAGCCCTCAACCCGGAGCCTTACACCGATGAATCCTAAACCGTAAACCCTCAACCCTAACCCCAAGTCCCAAACCCCTAAAACCCTGAAAGCATTCAACGCTAAACGCCAAGTCCTAAACCCCTGAATCCCTAAGAACATTCCACCCTAAACCCTAAGTCCTGGACCCTCAACCCCTATATGGGTAGTTCTTTAAATTAGGGTCCCTTTTCGGGTGCTTTTGAGAAGGGTGCCGTAATGTTTTGGTTACCCATAAATAAAAGGGGCCCCAATTAATTTACAGAACTACTTATATAACATTCAACCCTAAACCCCAAGTCCTACACCCCCAAACCCCTAGAGAACTACTTATATAACATCCAACCCCCAAAATCCAAAGCCATGCGGTCGAAGAGCTCGTACACCCGAAGGCTGCCAGGGGCTCTCAGACCCGTAGCAAACCATCATGTTCGGGGGTTTCAGGTGGAGGGTCTTTGGGGTTTCGGGGTTTCAGGTGTAGGGTAGTGTTAGGGGAGTTAGGGGTGTAGAGCTTCGGGGTTTCGGGGTTTCAGTTGGAGGATACTGTTAGGGGTTTAGGAGTTTCAGGTGTAGGGTAGTGGGTTTAGGGTTCAAAGGTTTCAGGTTGAGGGTTTAGGCTACGGGATTCAGGGAGTATAACCGTTTCGCCACCTCATGCCGTAAAGGCTTGCAAAACATTTCCAGAACTAGTGTAGAAGCCTTCCAAAAAGCAATTGAAGGTTACAAAATTATGTTGCCTCTATACTCAAAGAGAGCCACCAGGTCTGTGTGCCATAAATGCCCCAACCCCCAACACCCCCTTAAACAAAAGAGCGTAGAACCCTATAACCCCTAACATTGTAGCCTGGGCAATTTTCCACAGTCTTCCTCATAATATGGGAGTTTTCGATTACAGGCGGTACTTTATTTTGGAAACCTTATAATAAGGATCCTACTATTTAGGGTACTATGTTAGGGTCCCCTAGTTTGGAAACCCTCATATGGGGAGTTGTCAAAATTGTGGTCTGATTTTGGGTACCCTAAATATGGGTGCCGTATTATACTAAGGACCCAAGAGGGAACCATAATTTTGACAACCACCCATATCACAACTTGGCGATAAGCCTTCTTGGTCGGTCGTCGAAGTCAGGGCCTTCAACCCTAAATCCCTCGACCCTAGACCGTTGTAATTAACCGTTGATCCTACTACCCTCAACCCTAAACCCCAAAATCCTAGAAGGCTCTAAAAAAGCTAGAACCAACTCTAAACCCTGAATCCCCGGTGAGCCCTCAACGGTCGGTCCTTGACGTCAGGCTCCTCCCCGCTGTTTTCTGCAGTCCGCTGCTTCTTTGGTGGAGGCTGGGAACCCTCGGCCTCCACGCTCCCCAGGACCATGAACCTTGCTTGAAGGATCATGGGACTTAGTACTTAGGGTTTAGGGTCCCTTTCAGGGGTCTATAGGGGTACTATAAGGGTTTCGGGTTTAGGGCACTTGAAGGATCATGGGAATTAGTAACTAGGGTTATAAATAAGGTAACTATACTTATAGTTACTTATAACCCCAATTAGGGTACTTCTAACCTTACTTACTAAGTCCCCTGATCCTCCAAGTGGGTTTGGGGTTTAGGTTAGAAGGGGCCCCCACCCTGTAATAGTGGTATAATAGGAATATAATAGGGCCCTAAAATAATCCTTGTAATCACAATTACAGGTAGAACGTAGGGTTTCCATATTAGGAATTACGATTATGGCCTAGGGAAGTATCCCCCATAACAGTACATAGGACCCTTTGGGTTTGAATGATACCATAGAGACTCTCTTCTTCAACAACCGGGCCCCGATAGTAAACCGTTTGAGTTTGATTTCTTGAGGCTCACGGCTTTTGGGATTCTGCGACGAACTGAGGTCCTCTGTGTAGGGACCCTCAGGAGGGTAGGGGGGAGGGGGGGGAAAGGAACCATATTTCCTTAAATAAGCCTGATTAGTCCTTGTTCTGGGCAGTAAGGCCCCCTACCCCCTCCTCCCCAGGAACAGGATTACTAAATACTCCAAATCCCGATAACACGGACCCTTATCACGAAATCCCAAAGAGAGCTCTTTTCCAGCAGCCCGTGAAGGGGATACGATTACTGATTATTTCGACCCGTATTCACGGATTGCAAGAGTCAAGCGGAACAACTGAACAAACGTGTGCAATACCCCACTATTCCGAAATTTATGTTGCAGTATAAGTCTATCAGTTCGGGAAGCCCAAATTCATAGGCCTTAAACCCTAAAACCCTGAACCCTAAAACCCTAAAGCCCTAAACCCCAAAAACCCTAAACCCAAAAACCCTAAACCCCCAGAACCCTAAACCCCTAAAAAAGACACTCTTTGCTCTTACCTCGACAGTTACGCCGAGGGACACGGCCTTTGGCCCGAAGCCGAAAGACGCCAACTTCCCTGAGCAGAGGAATTCTTTGGGCTCAGGTTATTTTCTTTTCATCCTTCTTGGGTCTGCACTAGGCGTCACTCTGGGCTCAGGGATTAAGGCTTGGGCTTGTAGGGTTTAGGGTTTAAGACGTAAGGCTGGAGGTTTATAAGGTTTAGGGTTGAGGGCGTAGGGTTTTGGGCTTGCCTAGAGGTTAGGGCTTAAGGCTTAAAGCTTAAGGCTTGCTTTTTGTTTAGGGTTTAGGGTCCGCAGTTTCGGGTTTAGGGTATCAGGCCACATCATAGGAGTGTACAGAGCTTTACAGGCTTGTTGAGGGTTTCGTGGGATGATTCGATATATGGTCCATTGAACTTATGGACGCTTTGGCCAAGTCTTTGTACCTTTGAAGGTACATTGCTACCAGTTCACGCTGGAAGGTGGTGAAGACCACCTCGAGCCCGGGCGGGGGTGAGACGCGTAGGCCTCCGAGCTCACTCGGTGCGAAACAGTTCAGCAAACCCCTCGCGGGAATCACGAGCTATCGCCACACCGCTCATCGCCATGTTCAGGATTACAGGCTTCTGTCAGGCATTCATCTAGTTTGGCGGTCCAATGCATCACAGCGTAGTCTGGTCGCTCTCCCAGCGATCCCAGCGTCTGCCGACCGTGCCGCCCTGAATAGACCAAGCCGGGATTGAGGTACCCCAGCTTTGCGAAGGAAATCTGGTCTCCATCCTTCTTGAAAAGATAGCCTCCAGAATTGTCCGTCAAGAAGGTCGGATGAAAGTAGGATTTCCCCATGCTCATGTAAAGCCTATCAGGTGAACCTCCTCCTATGATAATGACGAGTACTACTGGCACAACGGCATTGGGACTATGACTGAGCATGCTTATGATGGTTATCTTTCTGCCTGCGGTTGTTACGAACACTGTTTCAGGATCCTTTACCCCAAGTTCTCATCAGTATAGAAATACTTTTCCGTAGGTGTCCTGAACAAGTTTATGGTAATGAGAACGGCTGTCATATTCGATCTTTGCAGGGATTTGGCTTGCTTTGGGGGCTGTGAAGCTCCAATTACCCTTAGAGGAACCAGGGTTTGTGGGGCTGAGGGGTGTCGGCAATGGCGGGCCTAGAGTGTACCGCAACATGAAATAACGTACCTTGTTCAGGACTTCTACTTTAATATAATGAAATCATACTAGGGAACCCCAACAAGGAAGGTTTTATAGGGCTCAGGTACCCAGACCCAGGGGAGGATCCAGAAAGTAGATCCCCTAATATGGGGCCCTATACTACTAAGGGTACTTTATAGAAACCCTCATTAAGGGATCTACTTTTTGGATACTTTCGAAAATCTGGGTAGGGGTTTAGGAATTTAGCGATTACGGTGCACTGGGTTCTGAGGTGACAATTCGGCTTGGTGTCTTAAGGCGGGGCTGAAGTCTGCGTGGGGCATCTTCTCCTAGACCCAAGAGTAGCCAAGGGTACGACAAGGGCTCCTTTAAGGGATCTATAGGAATTTAGGGTTTAGGGACCCAAGAGTAACCTAGGAAGAAAAAGGGTACCATTTTGGTTTAACGGGGCTTATAAGGCAACATGAAGCCTGAAAAAAAGGAATAAGGGCCTACTCTAGGTCCTAGTCTCTTGGTCTCGACACAAGCAAACAGTAGAGCTAGTCGGCCTAAGCACGCCTCAACTAACTCTACAAGTCCTATACTCCCTTAGAACCACAATAAAAACAATATGTTTAATATTCTCTTGGTTTTTATATGAACAACCATAAAAAATGATCCCCCTTTAGAACCATAATAAACCAGCAAAATGTGTAAAATATTCTCTTGGTTTTTATATGAACAAATCCAAAAATAATTCCCAAGGAGACTATAGAGGCTTTTGCAACGGTTCAGATCGGGAGTTGGGTATTACCCCAAGGGTCCAACGGTTGATGATACAAATCCTGCATTACCTTAAGGACCCTAAACTATGGGAATTATTGTATACTCCTTATTATGGGCAATGCAGGATTTTTATCATCAACCGAATTACCTCATTATCATATACTCTTCAAAATAGTCACCTACATAACTACTATCCCAAAACCGAGTAATTACCTAATTATTGGGTCCTTTGGGCCCTCAGGGTTAGGCGAGGGTTTAGGGTATGCAGTTGCGTGTTTGCGGGTGAGGGTCTGGGTTTGGGGATGTGTTGGGATCTTGGTCTTGGCTGCGATACTAGGATGCCCAGTAACATGGGAAGAAAACGGCTCCCTCTTTGGTATCGGGACGGTTAAAACGGAACCTAGGACCACGACAAACAGAGAAAAGGCTCACCCAAGATGTTGAAAGTAGAACCCTAAAGCCTAAACCCTAATCCCCAAACCCTGAACCCCACGGGTCTAGGGCTGGACTTTGGAGTGACCATGGAGAAGAAAGTGCAGACAGTGGCTCCTTCAAGGAACAGGTGCCAAAGTATGGTACTCCAAACCCGGGAGGATGTGATAGTTAACTTAGTAGCTGAGTTCATAAGCCCCCAAAAAAGTGTACACTTTTAGTTTTATAGTGGGTAAGATTATCCCAAAAAGTGTAAAGTGTATCCACTCAGCTATATACTAAGGACCCCTAAACCCTAAACCCCGACCCCTATAGTTAACATGGGTGAGTGCCAGGAGAACTGAGCCGCCTTCTGGCCAAGGTACCGGCCTCAAGATTCAGAGCTCGTCTAAAATTCCCTAAGCTCTAAAACCCTAGTCCCTAAGCCCGAAATCCCTGAAATACGAAAACCCTACACCCCTAAACCCTAACTACCAAAACCCTCAACCCCTAAGCCCTAACTACGAAGACCCTACACCCCTAAACCCTAACTACCAAAACTCTCAACCCCTAAACCCTAATTACGAAGACCCTAAACCCCTGAACCCTAACTACGAAAACCCTAAACCCCTGAACCCCAAAGCCCTGAAGCCTAACTTCGGAGCTTAACCTCGCATCAGGACCTAGGGCTTTGCAGTGTCTTTATCGGTGTGTTGGTGCCCAGACCCCCGGGAGGATCTAGAAAGTAGATCCCCTAATTTGGGCCCTATAATACTAAGGGTACTTTACAGGAACCCCCATTAAGGGATCTACTTTCTGGATCCTCCAAAGGGGGTCTGGGTGGCTGTATGCGGGGCTTTAGGTTTAGGGCTCCTGAGGATGTGGGGTCTTAATAATTAGACTACTTGGAGGATCATGGGACTTAGTAACTTTAAAGGGCTCCTTAAAGGGATCTTTAGGGTTCCTTAAAGGGATCTATAGGGTTTAGTTTAGGGTTTAGGGTCTACTTGGAGGATCATGGGACTTAGTAAGTAAGGTTATAAGTACCTAAATTAGTTACTAAGTCCCATGATCCTTTCAGTAGGGTTTGGGGCCATAGTAGTTCCTTTTGGGGATTACCTTATAGGATTCTAGGTATGAACTCCCAAAAGGAACTAATTACTGTGGGGTATATTATGTTGACTATAAATAGAAGGAACCCCCAAAAACCTATTCCAACCGTTAATTAAGGCCCCTGCATTATTATTATTATTATTATTATTATTATTACTATTACGTGTTCTTGCGTTTTTGTTGGATAGACTTGTCCTAGCAACCAGATCCCGACTACATTTTCCCACGGGCCCTTTGCGGGAAAATACCATTGTCCTTTTGTTCATTTGGGAAGAACTCCCCGCCCCCTCTAAACAAGAAGGCAGGCAACAATAGCACCTCCGGGTGGCAGCTTAAGGTGAGGTCCCTATACCACCAATTAAAGGCCAGGGAGGATCTCCAGGGCAGGTTTAGGTGTTGGTGTTGAGGCCTACATCAGGAGAATAGGGCTTGGGGTTCCCGTGCAGAATAGTGTTGCTCGGGAAAATGAAAGGACAACTGATCATTCCGATCCCTCACTTGTTTGTCCAACGTCCTTCGGGCACTCACGGTTAGACAACCCTTAGGTCTATATAAGGAAGACATTGCCGCACACAAGCGTTATGCTGCTTGCTCTGCGACTAAGCTGCTTTTGCAGAATCCTGAGATGTAGCAAGCATACTGACAATACTGCTGTTGTAGACTTCCAACAGAGTTATGGCATATCCCGCAAACCCTCTTCTAACTATAAAGCCCGCTAAACTTTAATATTCTCTTGGTGGTTTTTATGAACAAAGGTAACAACAGTTCTCAAGGAGACTATAGTATTCGTCCAAGGAGGCTCTAAGCCCTCCTAAACCCTCTATCAGCCGAAGGGGCTCGTGCGGCTTTAACCTCTTGGAGTCCAGGAAGGTGCCCTGCCTCAGGATGTGGTGGCTTCCGAAATTGAGGGGATGCTGAAAAGGTACCCCAAATCGTAGGATTCTTATGATAAGGATCACGAAATAAGGTACCCATACTTTCAGGAACTCCCATTTGGGTTGAGGGGCTCTCGCGTGAAGGGTTTTGAGGGTTTGGGGTAGCTGCTGGTTTCGGGTTTTTAGGGCTTAGCCTTTGAGGGTCCGGGGCTTCATGTTCTGGGGACTTGAAGCTTTAGGATTCAGGCTTAGGGTGCGCTTGATTATGAAGCTCAGCAGGCGCTAGATTACGCGTGATTGGGATGATTCTGGTAACGGCCTCGTTGTAACCTTCCTGGTATGTCCCCGCAGACGGTACAAGTCGGGTACTAAATGATTCCCCATACGCAGAGATCGTACAACAGGTACCGTGAGGTGCGTTGTCAAGGCCCGTGTTAAAAACAAGGTTACATCGAAGGCGACTCGCTTCAGAACACCACAACAAAAATGCAAACCCTTGCATACACCAAGTGAAACTATAAATGTATACATAATTATGTGTATATACACGCCTATACGCACATAAATATCACTGACTAGTACTGCTACTACTACTACTACTACTACTACTACTACTACTACTACTACTACTACTACTACTACTACTACAATATTAGTGCGACTACACCACTACCACCACCCCCACCACTACTACCTATAAGGAACACTAGAAACGGCAATGCTGGCATCAGGCATGCTAGTACTGATGGTGATAAATACTAACATCATTTTCAGGGCATGAATCCTCAACTGCAGGATCGGAATCTATTCAAGGATCCTTACGTGATATTAGGAGTTTCGGGTTTAAGTCCGGAGGGTGTATAGTGTACGTAAGGGTCTAGAGATTTCGGATTCGGGCAGGTGGCTTACACATGGATCTCAGTGATTTAGGACTTAGGGCCCGAGACAACGATTTTGGAGGATCCCGCGAACTCAATAGTCTAGGGATTCGAGGGTCGTTATGATTCACTACTATTTGCTTAAGAAACACCAAAAAAATAAAAATAATAATCCCTATATTACCCCCATAAGGAACATATTTTTTATTTTTTGGGTGGGTTCTTAAGCAAATAGTAGTTCATGGTACAAGGTTAGTTACAAAGCTTGGGTTTAGGGTAGACAGTGTTTAGGGTTCAGGGTTCAGGGTAAACAGTGTTGTGTGAGTTTCAAGGGGCTTTGGACCGACCAAAAACGCCAGGGTACGTGGACTTGAGGTCCACGAGAAAGCGCTGGCCGTTCACGTCCTCCGGAGGTGGCAAGAACTTCTGGGGTTCCTTTCAGGGTTCCGGAAAGGGTGCTGTAGGTACCGACACGAGCAGCACAAGGGTTAAAGCTTTCAAAAAGCTGTAGTAAGTCGGGGGACTAAGAAAGTACACAGTCACCGACAGCGGACTGTGCAGGGTTTGCCTACTTGTAACCCTGCTGAGTAACTACCTACCGAGACACCCAACCTTCCAAGCCGGGTTGCGGTCTGAAAGTAGCTGGTTCTAGAGGTTCAATCGGTTCAGAGCTTGTTGGTTCTCCAACTTGACTACCCAGACCCCGGGGAGGATCTAGAAAGTAGATCCCCTGGTTTGGGGCCCTATACGACTAAGGGTACTTTAGAGGAACCCGCATTAAGGGATCTACTTTTGGGATCCTCCGGGGCCTGGGCAAGCGGTTGAGGGCTTCTAGGGTTGGGATGCTTAGGTTTAGAGGTTTAACGTTCGCATTTCTGTGTTTAACCAACTTTGTTGATCCACAGCTAGAAAGTATTTCAGGCCTTGGGGCTTAGAGTTTACTTGGAGGATCAGGGGACTTAGTAAGTAAGGTTATAAGTACCCTAACTGGGGTTATAAGTAGTTGTGGCTATAGTTACCCTATTTGTAACCCTATATACTAAGACCCATGACCCTCCAAGTAGAATTCGATTTAGTGCACGAGTACGCGCTACACATGCATGCTGCTGCTCGCAGCTGAGCTATGAGCTATGCATGTGTGACATCCTTGATGCTCAAACGCTTGCACGACTGACTTGGGAACTTGAATCCTCTTCTCTGAACCCGTAAACCCTCGACACCTAAACCCCTCAACCCGAAACCCAAACTTCAGTAAAGCCGATAACCCCAATATAGTACCCTAAATAGTAGGATCCTTATAAGGACCCCCCAAAATAAGGCACCCCCCCAATTTCGGAAACTCCCACCTAAGCTTTCAGTGCATGGCCCTAAACCCTAAACCCTAATCCCTAAACCCTTCAGTGCATGGCCTGCAGGACAGCGGCGTGTACACGAGAGACGAGCCTCAGCCGAGATGCGGAATGCTTTGCGACTACTTGAAGGATCAGGGGACTTAGTAACTGGGCTATAAGTGCCCAACTTGGGGTTGTAAGTATAGTTACCCTCTTTATAGCCCCAATCACTAAGTACTCCTGCTCCTGGTCCTGCTTGTGCTACTGCTACTACTAATAGAAACACTAATCCGGCTGATAGCAAAGATAGTCATGATATTCCTGATTACAACAAGTATTATAACAGTATTATGAGTAGAAGTACTAGGGGATCTACCGGACACCGACGTAGTATGAGTATTGACCTGATTCGCATAGGTGGCCGCTGCCTTATTATACAAATGCCAGATATGTAGCCCTTTATCCTACGCGAAATCGCATCCACTCTAGCCCTTAGAATAGGTTTTGCGGATACATTATACTGCGCATAGAACGCGATGCAACATCTGCCGAAACTGTTCACCGCAAGCCCATCTTCATTGTGTTCAACACCGTCTCGCTAGGGTTTAAGGGGTGGGGGGTTTGGGGTTACAAGCTTGCTGCCCAAGCTGCTCTCCCTTCACTTGGAAGTCGGCTGTGTCCTTGTCTTCAGTGCCGTCTCTATGCTCTTCCAAGGGGCACGGGGTCACCTAGTATCCGAACTCCAACTTGGAAAGCTCTCCTGTGCTATGGTCTGGAATGTAAAGCTGTAAAATTGGAGCTGGGATGTGGGTCTGGGTCAGGGATTCAGTGAGTTGAACCCTGAATGAGCCCCATAGACCCTTCCCCCCAAACTCTAACTTCCTTAGCCCCTAAACTTGAAACCGTAAACCCCAGACTCAAATCCGAAACAACAGAGCTTTACCCCTCGGTCCCTAAACCAGCTTGAACCCCTGTAAGCCTCTAAACACCTGCGGCTGCTGTCATTTGAAACTCTTGCGGGTTTTGGGTGCAGGGTTTATAGGGGCGCCAAAATAAATCTTTACAATGAAGCCCAAAATAAGGCCTAGGTTTAAGGGTTCAGGGGCTCGAAGGCCCAACCAGATTTTTTGGGATTCCTGAAAGGGTGTAGGCCGGGGTTTAATTGGTGTAGGGGCCTTAATAATTAGAAGAGGGTTTGGGGGTATATGATACTTATAATCATAGCAAGGAACCCCCACAAGGCCCTTACAGTAGGTGTTGTGGAGCTTCTGTCACAGGTCTTGTTCACTGCGAGCATCGTTGCGGCCGATGGTGTAGACGGCTTTGTCCAGCAGGTCCCAGCTGGAGGGCCCCGCCTTCCAAGAGTACTATAGGCAAAAGGGGCCTTCATAATTAGAATAGGGTTTTGGGGCATTTGGGGCGCAGTATCCTATATTTACAATAAGGAGCCCTTCTTAGAGGAAGCATCTTCAAAAATAACATGTTCATGCTCAGGGCCTGAACATGTTCATGTACAAGGCTTGAACATGAACATTCATGGGGGTGTTTCCCAAGAAGTCCCGGCCACGTTCAAAGGCTTCAGATTTTAAGATCTGGGGGCTTGGCTTTGGGGGTTTAGGCCTCAGGGCTCGGAAGTCAAGGATGCAGGCTGCAGGGATCGTTGCATCGGGTTTCATGGAAAAAACCGTATGTTTACACTAGCAGGGGGCCACGAGGTCTCCACGGTTTCCGTGAAGGTTCTGCCTGGGGCCTCGGGTTTAGGAGTTTAAGGATAGGGTTAGGGTTTACAGGATAAATATCACTCGGAAACAAAGTAACCATAGCACCCAAACCTTGTCGAAAAACCTTCTTCCGGGCTCTAGATACATCTTAGATCCTTGAAGGGATCGATTCTGTGGCTTCAGAAACGCCCGTTGAGCCCTTTCTTCGCTTTTCGACCCTTGAGGGGCTCTGGGAAGTTGCATCGTCATGACACAACAGTGCAGGAGCCTTCATAATTACGAAAAAAGGAAGGCCTAATCAGGAACCTTAAGCAACTCTGTTTCGAAATTTCCGACTTCGGAATCACGCGATGAGTCTCTGCTCATCTTCTGAAGATTCGGGAGTGGTGGAGCGCTTCGAAGAATTAGGAAATCTTTCGATCTCCTTGGTTAGTTCATAATGGTCCTTTTGCTTAGAGTTCGCTGTGCATTCATACAAAGGTTCTTCAAGCTTGATTTCTTAACACTCCCATCGGGCAAGGATGGGCCAGTAGATCTAGAAGGACGCCGCATGATTAAACCCCTAGTCAGCTATCAACTGCAAGTCGCAAGAGGATCCTGGGTGAAGCCACCCCACTGAACCCCTAAAACCCTAAGGTACAAGCCAGAAAGTTGGAATATGGATTAATGGTAGGATACCTTATAGTTTACCTTAAAGGGGTTACGATGATGATATTCCAACTTTCTGGCTTCTACTGTAGGCCCTAAACCCGGAGTTCGAAAACTCCTACATCCCCCAGCCCTAAGCCTAATCACCACACTACCCGTCAAGGCACTCTCAAAGGAACCCTAAACTTTAAACCCCTAAACAACCAACCCAAACTGAACCCTTTCTGACTTCTTGTCCTTCCGGAACCCTTGTGAGTAGTTGTCAGAATCATGGTCTCTTTTTGTGTACACTAAATATTAGGTGCCGTATGATAATAAGGACCCAAAAAGGGACCCTAATATTGACAACCACCCTTGCAGAACCCCTGAGTTGTAGCCTCGTGGTTGCCCATGGCGCGGACGACCTGCTTGTGCCTCTCGGGACCTTGGGTGCAGAAGCCTTCATACTGGCTCGAGAGAAACTATGCTAGTTATGATTGAGGAAATCTACAGAATCAGATGAATGTTTATGCAATGTCCTATATCGGGGAACTGTCTTGCACCAGGACCCTAGATACCACAAAGACTGTATGAAGGGTACCTTTTTGGCAGATGTAGGTTCTAGGCGTGTAGACGCGAAGCCGTAAACTTAGATCCTACCTACATCCTGCAACCCGCACGCATAGCCATCGGACTGCACTGGAGACGTGAGACATGGGAAACTAACTTGAACCATAAATCCTCAACCCGAAGGCATCTGTTCCAGCCGTTGTAATCGACAGCTGGGCTGGGATGATGCTGAGTGCCACTAGACTGTTGCAATTTAAGCGGTCAGCAGTTTGGGGTTTAGCAAGGCTTAGGCTAGCCTGATCAGTGTTTGAGCCTCAATGGACTTTGCAAGTTGGTATATCTGACACTCCTTATACTCTACTTTTCAGGACCACGGGTTTTCCAGGCACCAACCAGACTTGGGTCGCGTGGATTTTACATCATGCATTCTCTGGTTTGGAAAGGCATGGTCGTGCAAACTCTGCGACTTTCCATCTCGCACATACTATAGAAGGATGAGAACTGGCTTTGGGTGAGCATATTAGAGTATACTGGTAAAAAGGAGCCGCAAGGACGAGCACTACAAATCATTCTATAGTCATGCTTCTGGTCCCGGTACTGCAGCGATCACAGTCGCGCCATATTCGATAGCTTCTCGAACCCTGCACAAGGAGGTCTAGGGTTTGGGGCCGAAAGCCCTGAACCTTGGACCCTAGTTACATAAGCCTCCCAAGCGCGACACTATATTCGGGTCCCCTGTTTTCGGAAACTCAAATATAAACTTCGAAGACCTGGCTGCCACATGATCCAGATAAAAGGGGGGAGGTTGTCACCTCGACTCTTTACTGCCATCTGGGCCGTGCATATGCGGCTCTAATGTCCCAAGCACACTTGCATGTCGTGAGCCACAATAAGTTAGGGAAGTGACCTGGACCCTTTTCTCTGCCTTTTAGGCCGTGTTTGGCGCACGGCTGCATTTTCAGCACCGCCGTCAGGAACTGGACGATGTGCATGTTGGTCTAGGAGTTGTCACCGCTCTTGTCTGGATGGAAGGACAAGAACTGTCGTCTGACCCAATTAGTGAACTAAGAAGGCTACAGCCGGGTTTGTCAGATAAAATAAAAATCGAACTGGAAGACTGGAAAAGCCGCGATACACAGTCCCAAAACAGTTATGGCAGCAATAGAACGGAAAAGGCAATCTAAGCTGTAACTAGAAGCTTAGGAACCCATGCGCCGTTGTAGCCTTTATCACAATTAGACTAGGGTCCTTGGGCAAATCGTTTAAAATGCACTAGGAATCCTCGATCCTCCCCTGAAAACGACAGCGGCCGTGCTGCTGCGAGGAGCAGTGCACCACCTGGGCTCGCAAGCTTCAGTCGAAATCCGTGCGTCTCTCTCTTACAGTACATGCGGTTGTCCTCAGGCAATTATGTAGGGTACCAAAGCCCTAGGTGTATGCACCCGAAACCATGGCGGGAGGGTCCCAAACCTCCGGGAGGATCTAGAAAGTAGATCTAAGGATACTTTATAGGAACCCCCATTAAGGGATCTACTTTTTGGATCCTCCAAAAGGGGGTCTGGGGTGAGATGTTGGAGGTTGTGGGCTTCAGACTTCCTTCTGTCAGAGTACTTAAAGGATCATGGGACTTAGTAACTAAGGTTATCATTAGGGAAGTATACTGAAAACTACTTGTAACCCCAATTAAGGTACTGAAAACCATGCTTACTAAGTTCCATGATCCTCCAAGTACCGACGATCTGAAGAATTTCAGATCTGCGAGCCCCAGAGCTGAGGGTTTATCTGGGAGTTTCCGAAAATAGGGGACCAAAATATAGCTCCTTTAAAGGGTACCATAAGGGTTCCTGTAAGGGATCTATAAGGCTTCTATAAAGGATTTAGGGTTTAGAGTTTCCGACAAGAGGGGACCCTAATATAGCACCCTGAATAGTAGGCTCCTCATTATAAGAGCCCCCAAGTAAGGTAACCCTAAGTTTCGGAAACTCCCACTTGGGTTAAGAAACCCTGAACCCGAAACCCTAAACTTTAAACCCTTTATAGCAGAGCCCTCTTCCATCCGATCAAGACACAAAAGAAGCCGTGCGTCAACTTGAGGCACATTGTCTTTCCGACCATCTAAGGATGCACAAGCATGAGATATCATGGCCTTGCTACTACGAATAGGGTTTTGCGGGGTATGTTTTACGAGCAGCCCGAAGGAGTAGTAGTGCTCCGACCCGCAAATGAAACCCTCGAGCAGAAAAGTCTCCAAAGGACGGCACAAGCTAAACTTGAAAGTACATCCCTAGAACCGAACTTGAGATTTCAGAGCCCTTGAAGAATCCAAAAAGTGGATCCCTTTATGGGGGCACCCTTTACTAGCACAGAGTCCCAAAATGCATGATGTGTTTTTCTACGTCCTCCCGGGGGGGTCTGGGAATCCCATCCTAAACCCTGAACCCTAAACCCCTCAACCCTAAAGCCTAAGCCTCTAAACTCCCTAAGCCCGAAATCCCCCAAACCGTAAAACCCTTACCTACTTGTCGGGTATCATGGGGAACTAAAGATTAGCCTTCTTGGTTTTTGGGGACTATACTACCCAAAAAAGGCTAGAGGTTACCTACTCTACTACCCCTTATCGTCCCTGATAGAAAGGCCCAACATTAATTATATATCCACCCCAACACCGGTTGTAAACATTAACGCCCCCATGTTCTACCCCTCTGACTACAAGGCTTAAACACCAAAAGCCGAACATTGTATGATCGTACTTACCTGAAAAACCTAAAGCCTACACCCCTAAACCCCCTAAACTCTAACTCCCCCAAACCGTAAGAACCCCTAAAACACCAAAAGCCGACCTGCTTTGTTCTTGATCATTTATGTCTTGTTTAGGTTATATGATGCTTACCGAAAAAAACCTAAAGCCCCCTGATCGTACCCTTATAGACCCCTTTAAAGGAACCCCTATAGATTATATGTTAGAAGCTGCCCCCACCCTGTATTACTGACCATAAGGATTATATAGGATTATATTAGGGCCCTATTATACTCCCATTATACCACTATTACAGGGTGGGGGCAGCTCCTAAATTATATGATGTTTACCTAAGAAAACCCAGAGCCGAGCTGCTTGGGCCGCCGGAACGGTTTCGCCTCCTCGGCTGCCATGGCGCCAAGGCTCCGGGAGGCGTCCCAAACTTGTGACTCAGCGCTGATATTTCGGGGGCTGGTTTTAGGGTTGTGTTAGGTTTTATTGGGGCCTTGTCTGGGGTTTAGGGTTTAATTCCAGGGTTCAGGGTTTACGGTTGATTCAAAGGTTGAGGGTTTAAGGTTTGAGGGTTTACGGTCGGCAGAAGAATGTAGGCGGAAGTTTGTGGCAACTGTGCGGCTGTGCTGTGGGTTGGACTTGCAATCCTGGTACATCATGTCTTCGGGTTCAGCGAGCCTACGGAATTGGGGTCTTCAGCTTCAATTGTTGTCTAGGGTTCTCAGGGTTTAAAGCTTTTTAAAGCTTAGGGGCTTGAGTGTCAGGATTCAGGGCTGAGGGCTCATGACTGTTGAGTGGGCCTTTGGGACGAGAAAAGAGCCGATTGCAAACGCATCTCCGCCATCTACGATGCCGAGTTACCCAAATGAAACTAGACTAGACTAGACTAAAGTAACACAGCGGCGTCTATGTATGTAACCACAAAGATGGGGCAAGAAGCACCCCATGTAGGTAAGGTCTATCTTCCGCATGTTCATCGTATTCCTTCCAGGGGCCGAGGGCCATGATTACGAGAATGTGGCCTGGCATCTGCTGAGGGGCATGGTCTTAGGTTTTTGCTGCAGCATAGGATTTGGAGTTGGATATGGAGTGGGGTTTATGTCAACCTGACCACTTCATCTCTGAAGCATTGGCACAAAAGTATCCATGTTCCAGCGCACGCACGCAAGGAACATCGCGAAGTGCGGATTCCGAAAAACGTTTCAAACGTTTACCTAGTCAAAAGGATGTGCATCATGCGTCATACTTCCTCGTGTTCGAGGCATTATTGCTCCTGGATAATCCAAACGCCACAGTTCGCAGCCGCACATGCTCTTGATTAGCATGCTGATGGCTAGGGCAACAAGATGTGGCACCACAGACTCGCAAAACGACACTGCAAAATCATAGAATCACCGTGCAGAATTTCATGCCCATAGCGACATCTGTACCCGACACCCAGACCCCTCAATTAACGGATCCACAAGGAACCCCACCGTCAAAAAAAACAAGCTCAAATAATCGAATAGTACAGGGGCCTTCATAATTAGAAGCCTGACAAAGCAAGTTGTCGAGCCAATGCGTTTCTGTGGACAAGCTTGAACCTTACACGACATGTCGCAGTTCGTGCCGACAACTGCGCATTCTGCCAGTTAGGGTCCTGGTATGGGGTTCCCTGGGCGGGTGGGTATTTGGATATAGAGTTAGAAGCACAATGCAGGGCCTAGTGAATATACTCGGGCTGATCGTAAACTGCTACACCCTAGTACCTAAGCCCCAAAACCCCAAATCCTAAACCCCCAAACGCACTTACACTCTTGACCATAGCCCTAAACCCTGTGCCTTACACCCCTTTATAAACCCACTTGTGCTAATCGGGCCCCAAAAAGCACATAAGCAAAACAAAAAGATAGGGATATCCCATAGAAACCCCCGTATAATGAAGCACAATAAGGTTGGGATATCCCTATAAAATGCTTAAGCTTATGTCCTGTTTGCGTCCCTAATCTATACACCCTTAGAACCATAACAAAAAAAGACTATGTTTGATATTCTCTTGGGTTCTATATGAACAAAAATAAAAAAATTCCTAAGGAGACTATAGATACATCCCTTAAAGGGAGCTTTAAAGCCCTAAACCCTTATAGTACCCCTATAGATTCCTTAACTCTCTTCTTCAACAACCGGGCCCCAAAAAATCAAACTTTCTAAGATAGAGCGAATCTATAAGGCCAAAAAGTTTAAAGCTCCCTCGTTCACTATCTAAGTTAAAGAGAGCCTTGGAGGGTCCCCACTTGGAGGATCACGGGACTTAGTAGCTAAGGTTATAAGTACCCTAATTGGGGTTATAAGCACTATAAGTATAGTTACCTTACTTATAACCCTAGGTACTAAGTCCCATGATCCTTTAAGTAGACCCTAAACCCTAAACCCTATAGATCCCTTTGAGGAACCCTATAGATCCCCTTAAGGTTACTAAGTCCCATGATCCTTTAGTAACCTTCAGGACACCGCAGGGCGCCTTGGCGGCCTCCGAGCTCTCGGCGGCCGCAGCCGCCGCCAGGGCGGTGGCGGCTACGATGGCCAGCCTCGTTGACGGGTTTAGGGTTTAGGGTTTAGTGGTTTGAGGTTCAGGGATTCGTGGTTTGAGGTTTAGGGATTCGTGGTTTGAGGTCTAGGGATTAGTGGTTTGCGGTTTAGGGATTAGTGGTTTGAGGTTTAGGGGTTAGTGGTTTGAGGTTTAGGGTTGAGGGGCTTGAGGTTTAGGGTTTAGGGGTTTGAGGTTTAGGGTTCAAGGGTTCAGGGTTCAGGGTTCAAGGCTTAAGGTTCAGGATTCAAGGTCTAATTATGGCTTTAGGTTTCCAGTTTAGGGGTTTGGAGGCTTTTACGGTTCCAGGTTTAGGTGTTCAGGGTGTGCGGGGCTTAGGATTTGTAGGGTTGAAGTGCGGGTTTTGGAGTTTCGATTTTAGCGTACGGGGTCTACATGTAGATACGAAAGTATGTAACCGATATATAGACGCCCTGAACACACTAATCACACACTCTTGTTATGCATTCGAACCTACCCTTTTAACCAGCAACATCGAAGGATAAACCCAAAATGGGTGGTTGTCAAAATTAGGGTCCCTTCTTGGGTACCCTAAATAATAGGTGCCGTACTATAGTATGGACCCAAAAAGGGACCCCAATTTTGACAAATACCCAAGCCCAAAGTCCTGGCCGATTCGTGTGGGGCCCCGGGCGAGGATGCTTCTGTGCTTTCGGCTGCAGGCACCTCTGCTGCTCTTTGCTTGGCTGCGGTGGTTTGAAGGATAGGGTTCAACAGGGTCCTGGTACGTTTAAGGTGTACTATACCCCCTTAGCACCATAATAAAAACACTATTCTTAAATATTCTCTTGGGCTTTATATATGAACAACAATACAAAATACTATTCTTAAATATTCTCTTGGGCTTTATATATGATCCAAAATACAAAGTAATTCCAAAGGAGACTGTAGTGTAGGGGGCCGAGGAGTTGGGGACTCTGCAGTTTCGGGTGCAGGGTTGAGGTTCAGGGTTCAGGGTTCAGGGTTCAGGGTTCAGGGTTCAGGGTTCAGGGTTTAGGGTTTAGGGTTTAGGATTTAGGGTTTAGGGTTTAGGGTTTAGGGTTTAGGGTTTAGGGTTCAGGGTTTAGGGTTCAGGGGCTTTAGGATTTGGGCCTCTGTCGCTGGCCGGCGAAAGACTTACCGAGAGCCTCGGAATGGTAAGATGGAGCTCGAAACGCTACCGCAAGCCCCAGGGCGCTGACATGGGGATGCGTGTTCATGTAAACGGGTAGGCGACAGAACGATGTCATGGCCTAAAAATTCTTGGCTCCACGGGGTGTATCACTCATTCAGCCCACAACCGTGTTGCTGCCCCCCGAACCCGATGCCCAGAGCCTCATAGACAGGAGTGCTCTTGCCGGCGAAGGGTGCAGCCTGGAAAGTGACGGCAGTCCAGGTTTCCGAACATCGCATAACTGTTCTAGCGAATCTTGAGGGGTCTCAGGCACGACAGGTGAGCTCATCAACACTCCGGATGCGGACACAAGAATGATGCGCCATGGGAACAGCTGCCTTCCAGCAGCCGTCTTTTGCTTTGGGGCGTTTCGAGAATATATGTTAATGAAAAGCGAATTGCCAGGCTCGGGGCTTAACTACGTGACTCTAAAGCCTACAACACACCAGGTTCTCACAGATTCTGACCCCTGCAAGATACCGTAGAGCCCCAAACAAAGGCAATGGGATCCGCGGGTTAAAGTGGGATTGCTTTTGAATTACAGGCGTTGTGGGTTCAGGGCAGAGCCCACTCCAAAGGCAGAGCCGAGACCACGCAGAAGGCTACGGCCGCAGCTGAGGGCGACAAGGAGAGGACCCGTTCTAGAAAGGTTCAGGGTGCTCGGGCCTTTACGGAAGAGATCGGCCCACCACAAAGCCAGGCTCGCGAAGCGGGCAGAGAGAGAGAGAGAGAGAGAGAGAGACAGAGACAGAGACAAAGGAGGATTGAGTGTGGACGTTACCGCAGCGTAAAACCCTGAGCGCACTGTGGGCACCCTATATACCAAACTCCACAGCACCTTGCTAGACTCCTACACACCCTAAGTCTTAAGTCAGCGTAGCTGTAGCCTCAAACCCCACACACTAGTAGTCCCCATGTCATTAACCTGTAAAACAATAGGTTTTGAGATTCCAGGCAAGTCCCAAACGGAGGTGCCTCCAGCGGTGGTGTCGCTACGCGGCTGGGTGGAGCCACGGCCGTGCGCGGCGCGGGCGGGGCCTGAATCCAAATATGGGTGTGTAAAATACGGATCCCGCTACATCAAAGTAATGCGTACTTGTCGGGTATCATGGGGAACTAAAGTAACTAAAGGTTAATCTTCTTGGGTATATAGGGATTACAGAGGGACGATACTACCCACAAAAGGTTCAAGGTCACCTCCTCTACTACTAGGAATGGGATTTGCATTTTCCGGACCCCTTCCAGTGAAACTGGCAGCTTCGCACCTGGAAGGCACGGCCCAGCTCCGAAACGAGGAGCACCGCTGCGGACAAGAGCAGCACCGGCAGCAAGGACCGCCTAGAGGCTTCCATATGTGGGTGTTTCTTTCAGGATCCCATAAGGTGTATAGATTTGAGAAGGTTTTATAGTGTTCGGGTGTAGTGGTGCTAATAATTGGAACAAGGCTATGGGCGATAGCTAAGGTACGGATGAAGAAGGGATACATTCCATTCAAAATATGATGACCCGTATCTTGTTTATCTTCAGAGCTAGGTTTAACGTCTCGTTTGGGGGCTTCATAAGTGGTGCCCCATGAGTCTTGCTCGGGTTTTTAGGGCGATTCTGTAAGAAAGCTAGCTAACTGCCAGAAACTCCAAAATCACGTTCGGCATCCCCTTACAAGCCCCCAACTTAAACCAACCCTGTAGGCATGTTGCTTCATTCAGGGGCTTGGGAGTCTCTCGGAGCCTCGTTATCACCAGGGCAGTGAATCCCGCGATGCTTCGAGTCGGTGACCAGAGGGCTTGGGGCCGACAGCTGTCGGTTGAACGGGATGTATAGGCAGGCTCCTGAGGGACCACGTTCCCAAGTTTCCAAAAGCATGTCAACAACAACTGTAAGTTTGGGATATCCCACCAAAGAGACCTGTTTAAGTGAGCTAATATCCCCAAAGCTTATGTTGGGGTGATGGTTGGTGCAGTTCGCCTAATTTCACTGCTGGACAGCAGCTGAGCCGCGACACCCACACAGGCCGCAACCCCAATTGCGTTTTAAGGGGTATACTATGACTTGATATGTTGTAAGCTTTGGACTGCAAAGGGGATCCTATTGCTATTCTTTACTGCATAATGTGCCTCAAGCCCCAAGCCCACGGCCCTAAACCCACGACCTGGGGCTTATTAGGGCCTGAATCTTGTCAGGTCTGGTGCTACAGGAGCTGTTCATGATGTCAGAAGCGCTTCTAAAGTTGTACAGCGATTTTGCCTAGGCTATGTCCGGTGGAGGACTCAGTTTTGTGAGGGTTGCAGGTTTTGGGACATAGGTCAAACCCCAATCCAAACCAAACCCCAAACCCGAAATCCCGAAAGGATTCCTTAAAGCCCGAATCCCGAAATCCCGAAAGGATTCCTTAAAGCCCGAATTCTGAAATCCCGAAAGGATTCCTTACCGCCCGAATCCCGAAATCCCGAAAGGATTCCTTACCGCCCGAATCCCGAAATCCCGAAAGGATTCCTTAAAGCCCGAATCCCGAAATCCCGAAAGGATTGTTTTAAAGCCCGAACCCCGAAACCCCAAACCCCCCCAAGCACAACAGATGCCCCAAGAGCCTCTGCGGTCCATGGGTCGGCACGGTAGGAGCCGCCATTGCCTTGGGGTTTAGGGGCTTGGGGTTTAGGGTTCAGGGTTCAGGGTTTAGGGGTTTAGGGTTCAGAGTTGAGGGTTTAGGGTTTGGGGTTTAGGGTTTGGGGTTTAGGGTTGAGGGGGTCGATCGGTTTTTGGACTATGAAGGATGTTCTGATGACGAAGAAAAGCTTCCATTCGGGCTCTCCAAAGATTGCTATAAGCGCTTTAGGCTTTTAGGGTGTCGAGCTTCCAGGTTTGTAGGTTTGGGATTCAGTGAGTAGCCATACGGTAGATTATTAGAAGTTACTACGTCCCCGACCCTTCAAGTGGGGTTCGTGGGTGTTGAGCAAAGCTCTCAAAACTGCACAGTGTACAAGTAGGGTCGAAAGACACTTTGACTTCTTTTGGGGGGTCCCTTTTGGGGTACCCTAAAAATTTGGTGCCGTATTATAATAAGGACCCAAAAAGGGACCCTAATATTGACAACCACCCATCTGGCTTCAGGAGATGACCCGTTTCGGATCTTAGGGTTTCAGGGTTCAGCTACAGTAGAAGCCCAAAAGTTGGAAACCCCATAGCCTCTACTCCGCTACCAAAGTTAAGCGGGTGACAGTACAGGTGCTAGGTTTTGGGTTTAGGGTTTAGGGTTTAGGGGTCGACGACTCTCACATACACGCCCAGTACTTACTAGATCCTGAACTACTCATGGTGTCTTCTACCTAGGCCCTAGACCTCACAGCAACGTGAAGACTGCCTGTCGCCCCGAAGCCTACAACCAAGTGGGTTATGACCCGAGGTTTACAACTACTTGTGGTTATCGCCCGCCAAACGAAAAAACCCAAACCCGTAAATCCTAAAGCAATACGGTATTGAAGCCGAAGGAGACCTCAAATACTGTGCAATGACCCACTGTCTGGGTTAGTCGTATGATACTTCTGGGTTAGTTAAAAACCCTCCTGTGCTGCTTATGTTGTATTTCTGGGTTATATAGACAAAAAGGTACAAAAGGATACCTCTTAGTATCCTAGGCTCAGTTCAACCACTCCGAAGGCAGTTCTCCCGTCTAAAGCCCGCAACATCTGACACCTCACTTAGAGGATCATGGGGCTTAGTAGTGTAGGAACCTGATTAAGAAACCTTGAGCCTTTATTAGGGTTCCTGATATGAATCCTACTATTTTGATGTTGTAGATCCAGGGTCTCTTAATTTGGTTCCTACAGTAACTAGGGTTATGAATAAGGTAGCATGAGTATATCTCTAAGCCGAATAAGTAGTAGAACTTACAACTAATAACCTTGCTGACTAGGTCCCATGATCCTCCAAGCGTAGGCACCCTTTACGGCAACCCTTTGCGAAGTAAGCTTGCAAGAACCCCTGTCGTGCACTGAGAGTATCCTTCTCCGAACCCGAGTAGTAAACCTTGTAGAGTGCCGCTAAAAAAAGCATAGGCTTTTAACGGGAGGGTGCGCACCCCGCCCCCCCCCCTCAAAAAACGCACAAGCTTAATTAGGGCTTTTTTTGTCGAAAGTCCTGAGAGACTATTCCAAACCCTAAACCTCGAAACGCTCTCAACCCCTACCTGGACCCGAAAAGCATAAAATAATAGCCCCTTATAGTAGGTTTGGGGCCATTGTTTTACCTACTCTTGAGGTTTTGGTAAGCCCTAAACCCTTATTTAAATCTCCTAAACACCCTAAACCCTTCAATCCCCTAATACCCTAAACCCTTAAATCCGCCAAACCCTTAGATCCCCTAAACCCTAAACCCCCTAAACTCCTAAACCCTAAACCCCTTAAGCCGCCAAACAAGCTAAACCCTTAAATCCCTCAAACCCTTCAATCCCCTAAACCCTTAAATCCCCTAACCCCTAAATCCCCTAAAGTCCCCTAAACCCTAAACTCCTTAACCCTAAACCCCTAAACCCCTAAACCCTATAAAATCCCGTACACCCCCTACACCAGGGCCCCGGGCCGGCTCAGAGCAGTTGGAGGGTTCCGGCGCTCCGTTCGGGGGGGAAACTCGAGAGAAGCGGTGGGGCCGGCGGTAGAGCTGAGGGCTTCGAGTCCTCCTCTTTTTTGTTTTTAAGTTCGGGTCTTTTGGGGTAGAGGTTTTTAGGGGTTTAGGATGATTGAGGGGTTTAGGGTTCAAGGGTTTAGGGGTTTAGGATGATTCAGGGGTTTAGGGTCTAGGGTTTAGGGGTTTAGGATGATTTAGGGGTTTAGGGTCTAGGGTTTAGGGGTTTAGGATGATTTAGGGGTTTAAGGGTTTGGGATGATTTAGGGGTTTAGCTAGGGCTGAAGGGTTTAGGGGTTTAGGGTTTAGGGGGTTTAGGATGATTTAGGGGTTTAAGGCTTAAGGGTTTAGGCTTCAGGATGGTTAAGGATGGTTTAGGGGTTTAGGAAGGTTTAGGGTTCGTTGAAAGGGAGTGATAACGGTTCTATGAGGGTTACGATGGGTTTTGATACGGTTTTTGACGATGTTTTGCATGGTGCTCATAGGGTTTTAGGTTCCTTCAAGAGATCCTTGAAAAGCTTCTGTAAGGGTTTCAAAGGTTTACTGTGAGATGCTGGTAGTTAAGGGTATTATTACGAGGCTGCGTAGGCTTTTATAGGGTTTATGTAGGCTTAATGCTGCAAAGGGCTATTGGGACGTAAGGGGTTCAAGAAGGGTTAGGGTTGAGGGTTTAGGCCTACAAGGTTGAGATACTGATCTGTGTGTTATACACTTTTGCACCCGATAAGAACACCCTGAAACTTGAATCCAATAACTCGTCAGACAAAACACACACTAACCTCCAGGTACACTGTTCTGCGGACTCCAAATCTCGCAACGAGACCCTTGCCAGTCCCAGCGTCTTTGACCTCAATTGAATAAGAAAATGGCTATATAGGAAGTTTACAAGGCTTAAACACGATCTTTATGATATTACAAGTTTCCGCTCAGTTCAACCTACCATGCTGCAAAACGCACATGATCCACTGCATACCCTAGCCATGGTGATATGTACTGTGCTCTGTTGACTTTGTGAACCATTTGCAAGATGTTGCGACCCAGTCAGCAGGGGTGATGTACATTTGCGCTTGTAGAGTTCACGGTTTGGGGGTTATGGGCTGAACGGTTTGGGTTCGGGTTTCGAGGTTAAGGTTGAGAATTAAGTTTGGGGGCTAGGGCCTTTTGGGGTTTGGGGGTCACAGTTGAGGGTTCAGGATTGAGGGTTCCAGGTTTTAGGGTTCATCTCGCTTCGGGTCTGGCTTTACTTGAAGGATCGTGTGACTTCGTAACTGGGGCCATGGTGACTATAGCTATCTTTGCTTGCAGCCCCAATTACGGTACTTTAACCTTACTTGCTAAATCGCATGATCATCCAAGTAGCCACGGCTTGAGCAGACGCTCTTAAAACTTAAACCCCAAACTCTCTTCCACTGTTTGGCCGGCTTCAATCTGCGGGTGTCACGGTGGGCCACGTCAGTCGTCCCGCTTCCGTTCTCACGACCGAAGGGACTTAATGCATTAGATGCAGGGTAGCAAAAGTTGGTTTGCTTGGGCTTACCGTTTAGGGCGTCCGGTCCCCGATGTGGGAATTCGGCTTCAGTGCTCGGTTCATGTGTAGGTTTATGTCTGAGAAAACAGAAAGCATGACCCCTTTCGAACAACCACAAACATGGGTGTGAACAATGGGTGTGGCGACCTGTTGTTTGCTACTTCCATGCTCTCTCTGTCTAAGTTTGTAGAATTCTGATGAAATCTT